AATGGGATCATTTTACATCAACAGCCCGATTTTTAATTTAAAACGACGTGATCGAATTTCCGTTTTTTAAAAATATAAATGTTGAAAAAATTTAAATATTAAATATGATAACTACTAGAGTAAACGAACAGAAAAATAATTTCATAGGAAGAAGTATTTCTGGAATATCAATGAAAGGCATTAAAGACACAATATTTGCATCTACAAAAGAACAGATTAATTTAAGAAACAAATGCATACTAATTGGTATAATAGTAATTATATTATTAGCTATAGCAGTATGGAGGGTACCCGCATAATAAGAAATTCCACCATAACTCAAAAAATACGTGAGTTATATAATAATATAAAAATAACTGCAACAGAAGCAGATATAAACGCAGCAAAGCTGAAGCTGGAGAGGCTGGTGCAGGAGTGGCTGAAGAGTCTGGAGCGGAAGAGGCAGAAGAGGCAAGAGAAGCTGGAGAGGATGAAGCAGGAGATGCATGAGAGGCTGAAGAGTCTGGAGCAGGAGATACAGGAGGGGCAGGAGAGTCTGGAGCAGAAGCAGGAGAGGCTGGAGGAGCTGAAGAAGCAGAAGCAGAAGATGCAGGAGAGGCTAGACAAGCAGGAGAGTCTAGAGAAGCAGGAGCTGGAGAGGCTGGAGAGGATGAAGCAGGAGCGGGAGCAGAGGAGGCAGAAGATGCAGGCAGAGTGGGAGCAGAAGATGCAGGAGATGCAGACAGAGTGGGAGCAGAAGATACAGAAGTCGAAGCAGGAGCTGGAGACGCTGAGGCAAAATATGAACAGAGGGGCGGATATGTGGCTGGGCCAGAAGATAGAGGAGCAGGAGGCAAAGTGGGTGCAGGAAGATCAGAAGTGGAATCATGATATACAGGTGAAGCTGGATAATCAGATGCAGCAGCAGGATGTGCAGGAGCAGAAGCAGAATGAGCAGGAGAAGAAGAAGAAAAAGATACAGGAGACGCTGGAGAAGCTGAAGAAGCAGAAGCAGGAGATACAGGAGAGGCTGGAGAAGAAGAAGCAGGAGATACAGGAGAAGAAGAAGTAGGGAGCAGCTGTAAATAATGCAAGAAGTAATTAAAATAAGCTATCTATTCACATTGTGGGAAATAACTTAACTTTGGGCATAAATAAA